TACCAGACTTGTAAATTAACAAGGCAAGAGCAGCTGCCAGCTTAAGCAAGAACTTTTGGGGATAAAAGGGGTCCCGAAGCCTGCCCACTCCTTGAGTCCTCTTTGAGATGTCTTTGGATCCAGACTTGGCAGCTTCCATCCCTCTAGCTTGTGCCTGGCAGCCTAGTTGAGAAGGATGAAGGAATGGGTAAGTGTGGATGAGTGTGCGTGTGCGTGCATGGAAGAGCAATGTACATTGTAACCAGTAAAGTTTTGCTGTTACTTTACATTCACTGGGTCTCCGTAAGTGTATTCCAAAGAACTTGTCAAGTCTCAAAGTTCGGTTAAAAGTTATGTGTGCGTAATTACTTCCTGCCTGTTGCCCAGAGTTGTGTGTGTCTCTGCTCTAGCCACACCTATCTGGAAAACCCAGGTAGAAAGCAAGTGGGGCTTACAAGATCCACATGCCTCAACAGGGTGTGTGTGTGTGAATAAGCGACCATAAGCCGAACCTGAGAGCCCCTGTAACAAGGAAGAAATTAAGTCCCAAATTGTTCTAAAAGAGTTGGATGATATTCAACACTGGATTCTTGTTGAAATATGCCTAAGAATTGTGTGCGTATGTATAGGAATGAATTCCACGCTGGAAGTGGTGTTTTCCACCATATCTCGCCTCCAGACACTACATGCAGACACAGTGGGGAACACTGAAATGAAGTGCTCCATCCGTTGGCAAAATTATGGCTCCAGTTGGTTCTCCCAGGTTCCTGTGGAATCACCTCTTTCCATCTGATTTCTGCCCCTCTACTCTCTCTTGGCTGTGAGGGACACTAGAACCCCAACTTCTACAGCCATTAAAAAAAAAAGTTCAGTTGATCAGCTGGTTAACACAGAGTGCGATAGCATGAAATTGACTAGCCTGTCCCTGGCTTACTTGGAAGGGTAATTCAAAAGACTTATCTCTTCTACTGTGTAGCTACCTGGAAGAGAATTCCCTTCTCCCCCTAGTCTACCGGTCAACCTACAGTTTCAGGTACTACCAAACTCCTGATTTTTTGCTACCATAGATTAACATGGCTCTCTTACAGTGCCTGTAGTTTCAAGGAATTCAACTGGTTGGCAGTACAACAAAAGAAAAAGAAAAAAACACAAGTAACTACAGCACTGTGCACACCACTGAAGACTTTTCAAATAAGTTGAAAATGTTGGTCGGGGTTGGAATTTCAGCTGAGGGAACTACGAATCATGGACCTTGGAATATTGCAAGTTAAAAACTCTGTGGATAGCAGTGCAACACGGACCTATTCTGGATGTATGATAAAGACAAACTGCAGAGGCAACAAGACTGAAGGCAGCCTGATTTTCTGCCAGCTCTGGATAGGAGGGGAACATGACAAAGCAGCTGTGTGGGCATGGTCTTAGCCATGAAATTCTCTTGGAGACTCTGGGAAAGAGGCAGTCTCTCAGTTACATCTACCTCCTAGGCTTGTTGTGAAGTTCTATTGTTGGAAACAGAACACATACTTTCTTTGAGCTCCTGGAATTATAAATGAGTGTGAGTGTCATATCCTGATTGCTTAAATATTGGCTACCTTTGACTGCCATTCTGGCCTGCTCAGCATTAACTTGCGTTGTTATCAAGGAATTCAGCCTTTTTGTCCCACAGCCTATGCACAGGCTTATTCCTGATTCTTCGTTTTCCACTTCCACTTTCTCAAGAAACTGAACTGGAATTTGTGTGATTGGAGGTAAGCTCGACCTTTTTGTTTTGACTGTTCTAGCAGCAGCAGCAGCAGCAGCAGCAGCAGCAGCAGCAGCAGCAGCAGCAGCAAGAGTTCATGCTGGGCTGCATCCTTGCCCTTGGCATCTTCCGCCAGAGCACTGGTTGGGAAGGGCTCTGATTCTGCCCCTCATGGACTTTGACAAGAAGAAGCGCGTTTGCCTGTTGTGTGCCGCAGAAGCTAAGCAAGCTAAAGATTTCTAGACGGGGTAGGGAGTTGCTGTTCCTTTGGCTGCACAGTCTGCTCAGGTTATCTGCATAAACTCATCTTCAGAGAAGGTAAGGTGAAACAAAAGGGGTGGGAGGTGAGCTGACATTGCTCTGTGTCCAAACTCAGGGATTTTCTAACAGACCTATTATATTTCCCATCCTGCAGGATTGCAAGCCTGGGAGGGGTAGGATCTGACAGCCAGGACATTGGGCTAGTATTAGTCAAGGATGAAAACTGGGCAAACTGAAAAAACTGACCTGAAAAAACCCTTCCCACTTTGCTATGCAAGTAGGAATATCTGAGGAACCAAAAGCTTACATGTGCCAGATGAAAACAGATACGGAAAATTGGAGTCAGAAGTTCAAACTGTAGAAGGAAAGGGGACAACTAGTGATAGTTAAGAGAAAAAAAAGGATTTATACTTTAAAATATGATGTAGTGATTGCTTCTGCCACTCTGTCTGTTGAACTGAACCTAATACCTTTTGCTTTGTACTTGATTTACAGAATTTTGTCCCCTTGGGTTGACTTGTCACTTGCTTGAGGGGAAGAGCTGTTAGCATTCCAGTTTATAGCCTGATTAAAGAAGAATGGTAACAGTGGGTTATAGGCAAAACAGCAATGTTCTCTGGCATCTTAAAGACTAATGACTTTGTTATGGTAACTACATTAATGGATAGAGCTCGCTCTGCCAATCAGTTTTTCCTTTCTTAGCCTGTGTTGTGTTTGTGTTTGGGTCACAATCCAAAAACATAAAGAGATCTGTTTGTGTGAATGTACTAACGTATGAATGTAGACTGACACTGTAACGTGACTGGAATAGTCAAGAGTGGAGAAAATATACATATATATTTCACCTAACATACACATTTGCTAGAATTGCAAGGTAATTGAGTGAAACATGCAGATCACAATGAGAGATACCAATCATGAATGGGTATATATCCCTGCCAATAAAGAACTAGCAAATCAAGGTCAATTGTGATTATACTTTCCATTTCATTGAAGGGAGAGAAGGAAGAAATTGTCATAATGGTCCTCTAAATAATGCAAAAAGAACATATAATTAGTTGTAGTAGCAGAGAAGATATGTACCTGATTGAAGAACAGAAGATGCTGCTTTGTTGTGAGATAGCAAATGCTGACAGATTTGAAATTTACCTTTTTCAGTCAAGCTGAAAGCCGTTTTTGTAACTTGCATCCATCTTTGGGGATTATTATTCATCTTTGCCGTTACGCTCTTATGGAAAGTTAAAACTTTCCATGCCAGGTGAAGTCAAAGCCAGCCCAATCTGGCAGAATAGGGCAGTTGTCACAGGCAATAGAGTTGGGGCATCAGATGCTTCTTTATGTTGTTATTGCATTTAGACTGTTAGGGATAGGGAAGAAGTTCAGATGCTACAATAACTTGGCTGGATTTGGATACTCAGCTCCTTAACATCTGTAACCTTGTCTGTATAGTATGTGTTAATGTCACAGTCACCCTCTATCTAGCAGCAAAATGTTTTCAGCTGTACTATGTTGAATTGCATTGATTAAACCCAGTTCAGGTTGGCTGGGTTCACCCAGCATGCAAAATGTTACACTTACAGTGGGGCAAAAAAGTATTTAGTCAGCCACCAATTGTGCAAGTTCTCCCACTTAAAAAGATGAGAGAGGCCTGTAATTTTCATCATAGGTATACCTCAACTATGAGAGACAAAGTGGGGAAAAAAATCCAGAAAATCACATTGGTATACCTCAACTATGAGAGACAAAGTGGGGAAAAAAATCCAGAAAATCACATTGGTATACCTCAACTATGAGAGACAAAGTGGGGAAAAAAATCCAGAAAATCACATTGGTATACCTCAACTATGAGAGACAAAGTGGGGAAAAAAATCCAGAAAATCACATTGGTATACCTCAACTATGAGAGACAAAGTGGGGAAAAAAATCCAGAAAATCACATTGGTATACCTCAACTATGAGAGACAAAGTGGGGAAAAAAATCCAGAAAATCACATTGGTATACCTCAACTATGAGAGACAAAGTGGGGAAAAAAATCCAGAAAATCACATTGGTATACCTCAACTATGAGAGACAAAGTGGGGAAAAAAATCCAGAAAATCACATTGGTATACCTCAACTATGAGAGACAAAGTGGGGAAAAAAATCCAGAAAATCACATTGGTATACCTCAACTATGAGAGACAAAGTGGGGAAAAAAATCCAGAAAATCACATTGGTATACCTCAACTATGAGAGACAAAGTGGGGAAAAAAATCCAGAAAATCACATTGGTATACCTCAACTATGAGAGACAAAGTGGGGAAAAAAATCCAGAAAATCACATTGGTATACCTCAACTATGAGAGACAAAGTGGGGAAAAAAATCCAGAAAATCACATTGACCAAATACTTATTTTCCACCATGATTTGCAAATAAATTCTTTAAAAATCAGACAATGTGATTTTCTGGATTTTTTTCCCCACTTTGTCTCTCATAGTTGAGGTATACCTATGATGAAAATTACAGGCCTCTCTCATCTTTTTAAGTGGGAGAACTTGCACAATTGGTGGCTGACTAAATACTTTTTTGCCCCACTGTATATTAATAAAATGCAATCTACATAACATGCTAGCACAAACAGGTAAAGCAGTGTGATGCCCTGGTTTGCAGAACTTGTTAAGAAGGTGGTTGGATTCCCACAACATGTTTCCCAACTCTATATTCTAGTGTTTTATATAAATCCGGTTACTGACAAGTTTATGATCAAAGTTCATGATAAATGTGCATTCATGTAAATCCATTAGCCTATGAAAATCAGCCATGATTATGACCATAAGAGATGTGACACACATTCTTGCAGAATAGTCCTAATCCTAATGTGAATGGGAGACCCTGGTGTTGTGGTCAATTCCAGGCTGAGAGAAACCATCCAAAGTGTGTGTGCAATTTAATCCTTTAATTTCCTCCTGACCTTTACTAGAATGAAGTATAGAGCTGGACACACATAAGGCAGGACCAAGCCAGTTACAAAACTGGCCTATTAAACCTATTTAATTGGTTTAACCTGGAATTCTGGAGCAGGGGTCTTATCCTCTAATACTCAACTATCAGTTTCTGGGGCTTCCCTTTGAGAGAAAATTGGATATCAGATTCCTAGGAGCTGAGCTAGACTTAATGAGTCGTGTTTAAGGATCCTTCTAAGTTTAAGTGTCACAAATCAGTTAGATGCCACAGATGGTAGAATGGTGCAGTTTGGGCCTTAAAATGGAGTCCCAAACCTGAACCAGCTAGAGGCACATTTGCTGTTTACTATTGAAGAGAACATCCCGCTGGCAATTTCCCCCTATTTGAAATAAGCACAGGAGTCCACACTTACTTGGGGACTAAGATGAAGGCAACAGATTAGACTCGCTCCACATCATGGACCAGTGCTAATTTGGGTCAGGCTCATCCATTCCATTTATTTATTTGCAACACAAGGCTGTTGGACAGGAATACATTTATTTCTAGTTTCCCTCTTTTTGGAAGGGTTTGTAAAAGTTCAAATTGTGTTGATGATTCATTAAACGACTGTTTTGTAGTAGCTCGGTTTCTCATTATTTGGAAGAATAGATCTTTATCAAGAGAATTAATATGGTTGCTTAAATACCCGCAGGCTTGATCAATGTCCCTCAAGGGCATTGATCCTACAACTAGAAACCTAGTGATTGATGCAGGCTCAGACAACCTGATGACATCCATCTCTTTAGGACTGCAAATCCTATAATGACTGGCCACTTTTGTATTGACTATGGCTTAGGGAAGGCATGATCCTAAATAAATGGAAGACCCCAGATTGCCTGTCCCTGAAAAAATGTGGCATATGTGAATTGAGTAGATAAGTGCCATTTGGACTTTTGGAAGAGAACAAAAGTGGGAGTACTGGGGTCCCACTGTACTTTTGCCAACCCTTTCCCATCTCTGCAGGCTTTCAGTGGGAGTCCACAATGTGGTGCTGCGTACTACTCATCAGTGTGGTTTGGGCTGTGGTCTGGTTCTTCCGTGACCGGCAGACTTTGAGCAACTTCAAAGACAAGTATATTTTCATCACGGGTTGTGACACAGGTTTTGGGAACATGCTAGCCAAGAAACTTGACAAGAAGGGTTTCCAAGTGCTGGCAGGCTGCCTGACTCAGAAAGGAGCTGATAGCTTGGAACGCACCAGCTCACCCAACCTGCGCACCATACTGCTTGATGTTACCAGCTCCAAGAGCATCTGCAAAGCAGTGGAATGGGTGAAAGCTGAAGTGGGTCGAAAAGGTAAGTTTCACCCCAACAGGGATCAAAGAGAAGACAGGACAGAATGTGGAACCAGGAATAGAATTAGCTGCTTGAGCTCCTTCAGCTTTCCTACGTAAACACCCAACACACTATTCCCATAAGCAATGTTATGCAGGGTGTAGAAAAGGAGTAAGAAGTAGTAAGCCAAAGAAATTAAAGATATGAGAGAAAAACAGGAAAACATAGTTAAATCTAGTTTGCATCAACCTCTACCTCTCCATACATTTTGATCTTAACCATCCTTCCCAGGACTGTATGCGGCTTCATACACAGCCTTTGTTTCTTTAAACTTCTCACCTCTTTCTTTTTGAGGATCTCATCAATTCCATCCAACCACTTCTTCCCCTTCCTCTCAACCCATTAATTCTTCCTGCATGTATTTGTTTTGTGATTCAATCCAGATTTATTTTCTTTAAAAACTACTTCAACGTAATATTTTTGTACCAGTCACCCACTTGTGTATTCATTCTACATGGACTCAGCACCTGTTCAGTTTTTTACTCTTGTTTTACCACACACACTTCCTAAATAACCTATTCTCACTGTTTTCAATTTATGATTATGCTTCTTCTGGCATACTCAGCTCCCATAAACCAAAGAGGGCAGAAGCATGCTCTTATACACAGCTATTTTGACAGATACTCATTCCTCCCAACAGGCCACATACTGTCACTACCTTTCTATCAACATTTGCATGTCTTAAAATTTCTCCCTTCTTTTTCTCATCTTTAATAAATGTTCTATCAAGGTATACAAATCCCTTTAATTGTTCTAGTTTTCTGCCATTTAAGGATAGCTTACAATTGTTCACTCCATTTTCTCTGTCTTCACAATTGCCTTGGTCATAATTTTCAGATCCAGATTCCTTGTTGCATCATACAATCTACCTAACATTTGTACAAATAATTTGGATTCTCAGCCAACAGCATGGCATCATCTACATACAGAAATACACACTATACATTCACATCTATCATGCCAGTAATGTCACATGCATTCCTTACACATTTATCCATAAATGCATTAAATAAAGGGTCGTCGCACATCCTTGATTTACTCCCTGCTCAGTGGCAAACCATCCATTTGCTAAGTACAGGACTGCATTTATTCTCATCCATGCTTTACTTCCATCATATATCCTTCTTAACCACATTCAGCAACCAACCTTCAAGATCAAATTTACACAAAACATTTAAGCCTATTCATTTTACCTAATGCTTTCTCCAAATTAACTGTTATCTTTCTCACATTTAATTACATTTCTCAATGAGTTGCTCAAGAGCAAAAATCTGGTCTGTACACCCTTGTCTGACTTATAACCACACTAAACAACCCTCATTTTGTTTATTGTTACCTCTTGTAGCATTTTGGTCAGAATTTTGACAGACACTTTCCTTGACACACTTGACAAACTGATCCCCCTGTAGTTTTGTCAGTCATTTTTTATACATTTCTCTTGGTGTAGGAGTACAATAACATTCTTCTAATCACGAGGCACAGATGCAGTCTTCACCCATTAAATTGCTCAGTCAATCCATAAGCAGATCAAACCCTGAGTGGTTTGGGCATGAACTACTCAGAACCAGGTATTCTATTCACATAATAGTTCAAGCATGGAACATTTTGCTGAGAGGCCAAGAACAACAGAATCAGACTCTCCTCCTCCTCCTCCTCCTCCTCCTCCTCCTCCTCCTCCCTTTTTTGATATATAATTTTTATTAAACATTTTAATTATAATAGTAAAGTCTAATACAAACTAAACTTAAATAGAAGAGAAAGAAAGAATAAAAGATGCAAGGAAAAAAAGAGAAGAAAGAAAAAAGTAAGAATATAATAAAGAGAAAAAATATATAAAGAAGTGACTTCCAACCTTCATCACAAGTATAAACAAATGTAGTGACTCTTCACCCCCTCTAAGGTTACAAACAATTATCTCTTCATCCCATATCCCATCCCTTATCTATAAACAAATCCATAAACCAACATCTTTTCAGTCCTGATGTCAGCAGAAAGTCCATAAAGGGTTCTCAGAAGTAACAATATATCTTGTTTTAACCTTGATCAAATAAACTAAATGTATATTCCTTCCTTAGAATAGTCTTAATCTTCAGTTCATTCAAATATTGTCGTAGAATTTGATTTCTCTTCATTTCTTCTTTGTCCCATCGCATAGAGTTCTTCAAGACTTTGAGTCTCTTTCATAAATCCAAGAGGAAACAATTGTCCAGGTCACTCTCTTGGTTTATCATTTGTATTTCCCTTTTGAATTTTATAACATCAGCCAATTTCTTTTGTAAATCCAGTGAAACGTCCTTTTCCAAGTCATTCTCTTGGCCTGTCAGTTGTAAATCTACTTTTGATACCAACTCTGTCTTGTCAGATAAAATTTGTTCTACATCTGTCATTTCTTCAATAACATCTTTTGGACATAGCCTATACATAGAAGCAGATATTACTGATTGTAAATCTACTTTTGATACCAACTCTGTCTTGTCAGATAAAATTTGTTCTACATCTGTCATTTCTTCAATAACATCTTTTGGACATAGCCTATACATAGAAGCAGATATTACTGATATTGTTGATATTGTGGCTGCTAATTTCTGACTCCATTCTTCAAAATTCTCCTTCAGTGTTTTCATTGTTATAACATTATGCATTTTATATGCTTGTATTTTTTTCCTCTACCTAAAATCTTTAGTCCCCTCTTATGTCCAGTTTTTAGATCATGAAATTACTTATCTCTGTTACCTCTTCCAAAAACCAAAACATCTATTTCCCACTAGAAGCTGCTTGTTCTTTATAATTAATTCCAAAAGCTTATTGTAAAAGTTTCAATTTTCCAAATTTATTTGGACCCTTAGTCCATTTATAGCTAAGATCAAAATCTTTTTTGTTGTTTTTTCAGATTCTTTAAGTTCTTAAGCTTATAATTAATTTTTCTTTTGTTCAGAGTTGAAGATAAACTCACCCGATGAAGACTTTTCAAACTTGTCTTTCTGAAGAACTCCAATAGCTTTAAAATGTTTAATAGGCAATTTCTGAAAGTCAATTTTCCAAATTTATTTGGACCCTTAGTCCATTTATAGCTAAGATCAAAATCTTTTTTGTTGTTTTTTCAGATTCTTTAAGTTCTTAAGCTTATAATTAATTTTTCTTTTGTTCAGAGTTGAAGATAAACTCACCCGATGAAGACTTTTCAAACTTGTCTTTCTGAAGAACTCCAATAGCTTTAAAATGTTTAATAGGCAATTTCTGAAAGTGATTAGAAAGTGAAGTTTGCGAACTTAGTGTCCTTTAAAAGTCTCCACTGCAGTTGTGAGCAAGATGGCTAATCCCTTCATCTCCTGGCACTCAAACTGCAGAAAACCTCTGTCCTGTGGTCTCATGAGGAGCAGCTGTCTGGAGCACATGGGAGCAATCTCCCATCCTCTCCTTATCTGGAGAGGTTCCAAGGAACTAGCCTACTCACTGGTTCCCTGGTGTTTGCCACAATCATCGGCTCTGCTCTGTCGCAGAGCCATCTTCAATTCACCATACCTCCCCTGGAAATCCCCAACAGAATCAGACTTTTCCGTCAGACCAATCAAAGCAGTCTGAACCTCATAGCCTGCCCTGAAAATCCTGAAATGCCACCACTCTCTTAGCTTACTCAACCATGGGAGGTTAGAGTCTTGTTATAATTGCCCATCTCTAAGAAATCCAGGCCAAGCTTCTTAAGAAGTGGTCTACACCTCCTTTAAATAAGGTGTCTTGCCTTCCCTCAGAGAAGCATTAATTATGTTAACTAGGTGTCACTAACAAGCTCCAAGCTAAGTTACAAGCCAAGCTGGACAAGGATCCAGAGGAGTGGCATGTACCATTTCAAGCAGTCAATCCATGTCCTTATGCATCATAAATCAAAACTGATCTAACTATACCAAAAAATGGCTAGACACCCCATTGTTAACTCTATCCCAAAGGTGCCGTCCAGATGGGCTTGAATATGACCTCATCTGCAAAAGAAAAGAAAAAAATCATGGAAAGTGTTATAACAAGCCCTTGGGGATTCTCTAATGGAAGTCTGGGAGAAGGAAGAGGTGGGAGAGTACAAGTTAGTTCACTTACAACCAAAACTACTCAACAGGCCATGAGGTTGCATATGCAATACATTCAGGGAAAACACTGTTTTACTGCACATTTATCAGATTTGAGTCAGATCTTCCTCCACTTGCACTCTAGTTGTCTACCTTGGTGCTTCAGTCCATATTTCATATGTGTAGTATAGGGCTACTTTTAAAAGAGGTCAAACAAAATGCTTGGAAGCAATTGTGTTGACAGATCTAGCAAGCTCCATATTCCATGTACCAACCACAGCATCAAAATGATAACTGGTGCAATTAGCCCCAAACCTTTCCATCTTATCTTGGAATCTTGGATCCGATAACCTTTCCAGGTGGACTGTTAGTCCATTGCCACTAATTCAATTTTAATCATTTGGTGATCCATCCAAGACAATGAAAAAAAACGAGGTGCCCCCATCCACAGACCATCTTCATATTCAGAACAAAATACTAATACAAGCATTGACCTGCATTACATATTAGCCCTGTTACCAGTTGGGATAGACCTATAGTTGTCATGGGTTCCATGAACTCCTGAACTCTTCCAGACAAACCAGCTCCAGAACAGATTTTGAAATCCTTCAGCACCAACACCAAGTCCAAGACTGTCGTATCAGTCCATGATTCTATTAGAAGGCAGGGTGGGGGGTCACACTAACAGAATCCCCAGTCTGTCTCTGATCCTTCATCTAATTTGCACACACACTGTATGATCCAGGTCTCTCCTGGTAAGGGAGAGATGATTTTTATGAATCGCATCCATCCGTTTACTGTGTGTACTACAGAATACCCAAAGCAGAGAAACTGGGGCCACACTGGGCCATGATCGGTTGGCTTCCCAACAACTGGTGCTGTAGCATAAACACAAACACACTGTACTGTACAGTAGCCGAAGAGGGAGCCCTCTGCGGTTTGTTTGGTGAACAGCAAGACAATTGTTCTCATTTCCCCCTCCCTCAATCACCTTCCAGGACTCTTTGGTCTGGTGAACAATGCAGGAATAGGCAGTTCTATTGGCCCCACAGAATGGATGACTGTGGAAGACTACCGCAAAGTCATGGCTGTTAACACCTTTGGAATGATCGAGGTATCGTTGGCCTTCCTACCATTGCTCAAGCAAGCACATGGCCGAGTAGTCAATATGTCCAGCGTCTTGGGGCGGCTTTCAGCCAACGGTGGTGGCTACTGCATTTCCAAATATACAGTGGAGGCCTTCTCTGACAGCCTCAGGTAGGAGAATGGGTAGGGCTTTATGTGCTCATTCTTTAGGTCCACAATAGTCAGTGGGGTGCTCATAGTCAGGAGTGTGCTGCATTCACCTCCCCTCCCCCCCCCATGGCTATGAAACGTCTCCCTAATGCCTGTTCTTATAATCATTATTGTTATTAAAACTGATGTCTTACACTGCTCAGTATGATAACATTCAGACTGGGCTGTTTTCCCATTTTCAAAGATTTCATGGTGCCTACTATTTCTTGAGAGTTAAAGGTATTGCTAAATAGGCAGCTTGATCATGAATAGTCTGTTGCAACAAAAGGCTAACTATCCAATTACTGGGGTCTAAATGAATGTTATGGGAAGCTTTACCTACAGGTGTAAAGAATATGGTTCAACCCTTTACGATACTTTGTTTTTCAGAAGGGATATGTATCATTTTGGGGTAAAAGTCTCCATTGTGGAGCCAGGCTTTTTCAAAACAGCCATGACTGATCTTGGATCGATAGAGGCCTCTTTGCGGCAACACTGGGACCGAATGAGCCTTGAAGCCCAGCGGAGTTATGGTGATCAGTTCTTTCACAGTTGTGAGTATTGATGCAGCCCTAGCTGCTAGAGTGAAAAGGGGAAAATTAGGCTTGGATTGCAAAAAAAGCGCTATTAGCTGTTACAGGTTATACTTATATAAAAAAGATGCTGAGAAACCTGAGTTAAACTGCAGTGGTTTTTATAAGCAACTGTAATTAATTCAATCCAGCTTCAGCTTTTTTTGTTGTTGTTATGCTTGTTTTTCATGAACCAACCATTACTTGACTTTCTTAGCTATACCAGTAGGACAGCCCTGTGACCATAGAATCACACTGGAGTTTGCTGGAACTTACAAAGTTCCTTTACTCCTTTGGCACTAGATTTTAAAACTCACAGCTCCTGCTGCGAGGGGTACATCTTGCAAGCTCCAACAAACCTTCCATCTTCTGAGACTTGTAACAACGATCTCAGGGGTGGAGACATCAGCCAATTTCATTATGACTTACAAAAGACTCAAGTGTTTTCATAACAGCTTGTTTTTAGAGGTGTTATGTAGGAGTAAAAAATTAGGGGAAACTTGCTTTCTTGAAACTGCTACAGGAGACAAGGCTGTTGACTGTAAATTGCAAATGCCATTGTTGCACTTCAGTCTACTATTTGTGTAACTCAGCAGTGAACAACTGTAGTTGGGTCCATCATTCAATTTCCTGACCTTCTAAAGAGCCACATGGCATCACCAGAAGGATAGGGGTAACTAAAATGCGCAAGGCTGAAAATATTTGGCCCTTTTTTGTGAGGGAGGGGGAAGGAAGATATTAGAATAGGAATGGAAACAGGAAGCTACTCCCATTTCCAGCCATATAAAAACTTCCAAACAAAAAGAATTGCTGAAGTGGCCAAATTGCAGGGTTTAAGAGGTCTTCTGTTCCCATCCCCATACTTAAAACACTAAAACCTGCCAAAAGTGGACTGAAATCACTCTGAAAAAAGAGCTTTTTGTAGGCGTTGCTCCCATTTTCACCCTTACTTTTGCATTTAAAAAAAGCTTTCAAAATTTGGTATTCTGCTCTTAAATTTCAATAGGAACATAGCGGGGTGCTGGGAGACCATGTCCATTTGCATGTGCCACAGTTTGCCTACCTGTTGTAACACCATAGAAAGGGTTGTGCAGACAAGTCTTACATCATGTCCAAGACCCAAGTAAAATTTTGCAGTTTGTAAATACAAGGTGGAGAACAGCTTTCCCATCATAGTACCCATCAGAACCATTGAACTGTAACTCCCATCATTTATTCTGTCAGGATACAGTGCATTCGGAAAGTATTCAGACCCCCCTCACTTTTTTCAATTTTGTTATGTTGCAGCCTGATACTACAATCGTTC